TGTCATATATGACTTTCATTATGTAGAGGTATGTTCCCGTGATACCCATTTTGCTGAGAGTTTTTATCATGGGTGTATATTGAATTCTGTTAAATGCTTTTTCTATGTCTTTTGAGTTGACTCTATGATTTTTTTTTCTCCTTCATTTTGTTAATGGGGTGTATCACATTGATTTGCAGATGTTGATTTGCATCCCTGGTATAAATCCCACTTGATCTTGATGTGTGATCCTTTTCACATATTGTTGAATTTGGTTTGCTAATATTTTGTTGAGGATTTTTACATCTATGTTCCTCAGGGTTATTGGCCTCTAGTTTTCTTTCCTTATAGTGTCCTTTGGTATCAGAGTAATGCTGGCCTCATGAAATGAGTTTGGAAATATTCCTTCCTCTTTTGTTTTATTTATTTATCTTTAATCTTGACCTAAATTTTGATTAAAGCCTTTTTATTTTAAGAAATTACTTTTTAAGTGATACATTTCATATGACCATAATAGATAAGGTTTTTCAGGAGCCTAAAGTACAGGAAATAAATCATGATCTCAGTATAGTTCTTTTTCAAGATCTGACAACTTCAGTAAACTTATGCTGTTATGGTACATTGACATCTAATATAGAGAGCAAAGTCAGAGATTTTATCATCAATAAAGCAAAATTACAGTGAAAAATAGTATACAGCATATAAATACACCTGTGATATATTTGGCCTATGAAAGTGCTAACAGTTAATTTAGAAAAATTCAGTTAAGGGTACTTTTTGATTCCAGAGATTACCTAATAAGGTGAATTGGGTGAAGGGATGGAGTAGTGAATATTTGGCAGGTTTTCTGCTTATTTACCACTCTTTGAATTGATAATTTTGTTTCAGGTATTTCCATCTCCTTAAGTTCTAAATTCCCATCATAGAATCTAGAAAATTCAGTTCCTCAGTTTTCCTTACAGCTTAGCATAGAATTTGACATAGGTGAAGTATATTCACTCACATTCAGAAATGAACTTGAGAAAAGACAGTTGGCATAGAATCTCTTTTGCAGGCAAGAGTAGCATCAGTGGTTGCAGAGTCAACTTACTGATGCAGAAGCGCACTGGTGTGGTGGCAGGAGCAAAAAAATTGAGTTTCCAGCAGCATCTGAAATGTAGCATCTTGTGTTCCATGGTGGTAGAATTGGTGGCAATTTCTTCTAGTGCCCAATAGGCAGCAGTAGTTTTCATCATCAGGCCAGTTTTGTGGTGTGGCTTTGTACATTGTTGCTGGAAGCTTAGCCTTAAGCCTGCCTGATTCTTAAGCCCTCACAATAATTGCTTGAGTTAGACTAATAACCTTTTTAATAAATGACTTTTCTGCTTAATCGTCCAGAGTCAGCTTCTGTTACTTTTAACCAAAAACAACAGAAGTTGTTACCAGAAGTGAGATACTGAAAATTACACAGCCTAAAATGTGAAATTAGTTGAATGGAAGGCAAGGACAGAGGGGGATAGGACTGTTGTGGACCTGACCTTTACAGTCTTTAGGCTGGTGGTCCTTGTTATGTAGTGATGAAACATGAGGTCAGTGCCTCATCGTGTTTCTTGAGACACAGACCAAGTACCAGCTGAGGCTACAGCAATAAGAGAAATAACCAGAATGTCAAGGTGTTCTGGTTATTTCTTCCTGCTTTCAGCAAAATTCTGAAAAAGAGGATGAATGCAGATTAAGCTAGTTGGTGCAAAGCAAATATGGAAGGAAGTACTATTTTGCTAAGGACACTTTTCTGTCTAAATCCTGATTGAGAGTCTTATACTTGAGATTTAGAGTCTGGCAGTGTTGAAAATGAGAATCGCTCTTATTCACTAACCCTATAGCCAATACAAGCGGGGGGCTTCTGAGTTCTGACATGAAATAAAATCAGTGCCTCAAGCTGTTCCCACTTTCCAAACAAGGATCAGATATACAGTGCATTTACTCAATGGAGCCTATAGTTTTTCATTACTCTAAGGAGTATTCATTAATCTTAGGGTTGGGGAATGGGCAGAACATAGAGGCCATTACCAAAGGATGAAAATCTTCATGCTTAAAAATTTTCAGGGTGTTTGCCTGTGGCTACTTGTACATAGAAATGACTAGAAAAAAATAATTTTGAATGGAGTATATTGCCAAGAAACCCCAGGCCTGGCTAGCTCACTTCAACTCTTAAAGCCATCCCTGGGCCCCTGAACTCATATCAATAGAAAGTGAAAGCTTCAGAGCCTCAAAGAAGGGCATCTTTCCCAGTATCCTCACCTCTGGGCAAGCATTTCCCCAACATACAGAACCAGGAGCCTTGAAGAACAATGGACAAGAGAGGGTCTTTGAGTCTCCCAGAAAACAGGATACGTGCTACCAGATTGACTGACTAAGGACTTTATTGCTTTGCCAAAAGCAAGGGGTCCTTGCTCTTCCTGTCCAGCAGCATTTAGGATTTACTGTGGAACAGTGACTGCCATATGTTTCCTATTCCAGGTTTTTATTGCTGTATCTGCTTATTCTTTACGGTAGTCCAATAGGTAACTACCGTGTGGGCCCTGGCTAGACCTAATGGAAAGGCTAGCACATCAGCCAGAGGGACTCAGTTTGAATCTGGATAGGACCGTGGGGGTCAAGTAGTAAATGGATATATTCTGTATATGAAACAAAGGGTATATATTCATGTTCTGTAGCCAAGAGGGTGTACTGCTTGTTACCACAATATCCATTCCTTCTTACCAGCTGAAAAATTTTGTTGGGGTGCAGTGTGCCAAGCCAAAAAAAAAAAGGTTCTTTCTCAGACTACATGACACCTTTCTGACCACCTAAGCAGTTGTGTATTGGATATTGTTGTAAGAAGGGTATTGTTTTCCTGTTAAAAAGGCATAAGTCAACCTAGCAGTCTCCTTTTGCCCTTTTCCCTTCTCCCTTCCTGGAGTATAGATGGTGATGTCACAGCAGCAGTAAAGACAAAAATCACACATGAAGGATAGCAGAGCAGGAATTTAAAAAGAGCCTGGCTTCTTAGTGGTAGTAAAGACCTGCAGTAGCCCAGGATGCCTTAATCTGTATTTCTTGATATGTGAGAAAATTAAATCTCTTATTTTAAACTGTTGTTTGTTGGACTTTTGGTTAATCTCTCTTTTCCACCAGATTGTAAACTCCTTGAAGTTAAATAGACTTTTTTTTAAATTGAGGTATAATTGACATAAAACATATTAGTTTCATTTGTACAACATGATAGCATATTTGTATAAATTGAAAAATGATTACCACAATAAGTCTAGTTAATGTCTGTCTGCTTACATAGTTAGAAATTGTTTTTCTTGGGATGGGGACTTTTAAGATCTACTCTTTTAGCAGCTTTCAGATATGCAATACAGTATTATTAACTGCAGTCACTATGTTATACTGAAGAGACTATTCTGTATTCACTTCTGCATTTTCATTTTGTGATATAATGTTCAGCATAAAATGGCACATATATGTTTGATAAGTGAAACAATTTACTGCCATTGCTAATACGTTAAAACCTAAACTGTAATTTGTTCTCTGGTGGTATCTCCAAAGATTGGTAGAAGCAGATGAGAGATAAACAGTGATTAAATAATAATTACTTAGCTGATTTTCATTTTGGTAAACCACATTTATCATCTGGCTCATAACATTATTTTAGTTAGATCAGGTGTTTTTCCTTTTCAATTGAATTTGTTTTAATGATACCTTTTTAAAAATTTTTTTAATAATTCAAATTTACAGAAAAGATGTAAGAGATGTTGAAGGGTATGGAAATTTCCTTTACCCAGATTCCACAAATGCTAACATTTACCACATTTGCTTTATTATCCAACCCTCATTTTTTTTCTAAATGTTCTGAGGGTAAATTGTAAACATAATGCCTCTTTACCCCCAAATGGTCATTTTAAAAATCATGACAGCCCACTAAGATTAGATTTGGAGAAAGAGTGTATTTCTTAAAAATACTTTCATATATGTTTGCTAAATTTGCAAAGATATTCTCTTATAAAACCACAGTGTAATTATCAAAACCAGAATATTAACATTGATACAACTCTACCATTCAGATGTTTTCATTTGTCCTAACTTGTCTTCTCTAGTAGAAGAAGAAAATTCCCTCTGGTCTAGGATCCAATTGAGGATCACACAAATAGCATTTAGTCACTATTTTTTTAGTCTTCCTTAATCTGGAGCAATTCTTCAATCTTTCTTTGTCTTTCCTGACCATGATATTTTTGAAGAGTATATCCAAGTTATTTCATAGAATGTGATGTGAGCATTTTTTGATCCTGATAGCTGAATTCAGCTCTCCTGGGAAAAAAAAAAAGGAAAAATCATTGATCTTTACAAAATTTCTTATCTTAATTAAGAGTGCTCTCTCACTTGACCTCCAGTAGGATGTCTCACCGAAGACTTATATTTTTTGTTGTTGTTGTTTGACTGAGTTTCTCAGTGGGGCACTGTTGACATTTTGTACAGCATAGTTCTTTACTGCACCAGGTTGTCCCATACATCTCTGGCTCCTGCTCTCTAAATGCCAGTAGCATTCTCACTTGGTACGACAACCCAAAACACCCCCATTTGAGAACCACTGTTCTGTAAAATTCATTTAGAGTCTTTAAGTTAGGAAAATGGTCTTGCTTTTTATATAGTAGGCAGTTCAACAAATTTTCAAGTTGATTGTTTTAATTATCAGTAATCTCTCATCAGATAGGTGATAATGTATATTAGCCGAATTCTGTTCAGGTAGTTATATTTAATAAATCATAAAGGGTTAAGTTGATCATAGATGTTTTAATATAATCTGAAATGAGAATCCTGTTAACAGTTTTCCATTTAAAATCAAGGACTTCACTTTTGAAGTTATCTGAAATGAAATATTTCTGGAAGATTTACCTTAAAATTCAGTATTTTACTCTTAGAAATTTTAGAGGGAAATGAGTATGTTCATTTTATTTTAATTTTAATGATATCAATTATTCTTTTTGTTTTTCTTTCAGAATTGGTCCCTAGGAAAGAGCTCCTTATAGAAAATGTGCCATATTGTGATGCACCAACTCAGAAGCAATGAGTTTTCTAGGATAAAATCAAGTCTTTTAGTTTTTAATCTTAAGTACATAACTCTGGCAAAAGTTTTGGAAATGCAAGTATTTCAGAACCAGCCTATTGAAAATGAATGAATTAAAGTATCACTTCATAACAATTTCACATTAAAAGGACATTGCTGAAAACTGCAGAACATAGTTAAATATTCCTAGACAGCATTAAATAAGACATGTTATTTGCTTTAAAAAATCAAACTTTATAAACTAAAATAAATGCTCAGGAAGTATGTCATACTCATTTCTCTTTGACCTTGATGAGTATTTTGGTCTTTTTTTTTTTTTTTAAGATTTTATTTATTTATCTGACAGAGAGACAGGGAGAGCGGGAGCACAAGCAGGAGGAGTGGGAGAAGGAGAAGCAGGCTTCCCGCTGAGCAGGGAGCCTGATGCGGGGCTCAATCCCAGGACCCTGGGATCATGACCTGAGCCGAAGGCCGATGCTTAATGACTGAGCCACCCAGGCGCCCCGAGTACTTTGGTCTTAACATAACTAAGAATGCAGTGATTTGACAAGTTGGTGGGTTTTCCTCCCACATGAAATGAAACTATAAGATTAAAATTATTAGATTAAATTTGTGTTTAGTTCCATAAACATTAAATTGGTCAAAAAAAATCACAATATGTGCCAGCTCTCCACAGAAGGTGGCCTTTGTTTCCTAAAGCACTGAAATTCTTTCTTTTTTTTTTTTTTTAAGATTTTATTTATTTGACAGAGACACAGCAAGAGAGGGAACACAAGCAGGAGGAGTGGGAGAGGGAGAAGCAGGCTTCCCGCTGAGCAGGGAGCCCGATGCTGGGCTCGATCCCAGGACCCGGGGACCATGACCTGAGCCGAAGGCAGACGCTTAATGACTGAGCCACCCAGGCGCCCCAGCACTGAAATTATTTCTGTAGCTAACAAATAATTATTCAGTTTCCTTTCAGAGATAGAGTATCTCTCTGTTCCTGTAAAGACATTTTTCTAGTAAGTCTTCTGAAGATAGATGAATAAAATATCAAAATCACCTAGGATCACTATGGAATAAAGAAATCCTAATTTTTTTTAGGAAATAATGACCCTTAATCAAACTATGTAATACATCCTTAGTAGAAATAGTGTACCTAGGCCACAGCTAGACTTTATTGTGAAAATGTAATATGTGGCTACCTTCTTTCGATTTTAATCAATAAAACTTAGATGGCTTTTCTTCCACATGTCCCATCCGTCCCTGACGTGAGTGGCAGTATCACAAAACAGTGTGTCATTCTACCATCTAATGGTGGGAACTAAAAAATTGTATTTAATATTCTTCTTGTTTCTCTTTTATCTGTGTATCTTTACCATTCTCGTCTTAGTGAGCAGTGTGTTCTCTCCCATTCACTGACCAATTCTCCCATTCAGTAATGATACAGAGTTTTCAATTTTTATAGGATTCTTAATGCAAGCTTTGTTGGCAAAACATGGGTATATCCATAGTGGATATAAAATGTCATATTTTAAAATAATTTAAAAAATGATAAAATAATTTAATTTTAAGAGATCAAAGATTTTGCTAAATTCCTCAGACATATTACACTTAACATTAAGCCATTAACTATCCTTAATGCCTTCTAATACTTGTGAGAAGAGTGTTTAGTAGTCTGTGAAATGGTTTATACATGTCAAATGATTTGCAACGTTAATTTTTCAACTCCCATGTGTAGTTATTATTTATGTGGAAATTATACCTACTTGTTTCATATTTGAAATTTGCTCTTATAAAAGAATGTTGAAAGTTGTCACAGTACAATCACTGATAAATTCCCTGACTTAGTATTGTTTCATTAAGTATCTATATTATATATTTGGAGGAACATTGGCTGACCTAGGTTAACTTAATATATTTTAATTATTTTAGTAATATTGAACGTTTTTAGTAGTTCCTAGCTTTTTTTCATTTTTTAAAGGATTTATTTATTTATTGGACAGAGAGCATGAGCAGGGGGAAGGAACAAGGGGAGAGAGAGAAGCAGGCTCCCCACTGAGCAGGGAGCCCATTGCAGGACTCCATCTCAGGACCCTGGAATCATGACCTGAGCTGAAGGCAGATGCTTCACCGACTGAGCCACCCAGGCGCCCCCCTAGCTTTTTTTCTTTAATCTTAATTCCTGTGTTCCATTCTTCATTCACATTAATTTAAATATCTCAACAGATTTTTTTTTTTATAAACTTACCATTAGGAGCAATAGAGATTAATAATTCACATATTTTATTAAAGCCAGTGGCTTTGAGATTTTCTTCAAGATGTATGTATATCTTGTATATATATAAGAAAAAAGATCGTGTTTATATTAGCAGACAAAACTATAAAATAGTAATAGACTTTTTTTAAAAAACTGTGTAACTTAAAAATGAAAGACATACTATGTTCCTAGATGGGACAACTGAAAATTATGGACATGAACAATTTAAATGTTATCTATCAAAATCCCGAAAGATTAAAGATACATCTATGTAAAAATATGTAACTTATGGGGGCACCTGGGTGGCTCAGTCGTTAAGCGTCTGCCTTCGGCTCAGGTCATGATCCCAGGGTCCTGGGATCGAGCCCCGCATCGGGCTCCCTGCTCAGCGGGAAGCCTGCTTCTCCCTCTGCCACTCCCCCTGCTTGTGTTCCCTCTCTTGCTGTGTCTCTCTCTGCCAAATAAATAAATAAAATCTTAAAAAAAAAAAAAATGTAACTTATGTAATCTGTAAAAGCTACTATAAAAAAAGTTTACAGAAAATATTTGCTGCCAACATAATGATTAAAAGAGTTTTAAGATATAAGTGCTCCTATGACTCAGTAAAAGATAACTCAGTGAAAAATGGACAAATGATATAAATAAAAAGTTCACAAAAGAAGAAAGATTAAGCCTCTCTACTGATCAGAGAAAGGTAAATTAAAACAATATGAAACTTTTTGTTCATCAAATTTGCAAAAGTTAAAGAAACTGATCATATCCATTATTTGTAAAAGTAACATGGGTGTGAGGAAATGGGCACTCTCAAATATTTCTGGAAGGGATGTAAGTGATAGAGCCTTTTTGAAAGGAAAATTGACATCAAAATTTAAAATAAACATATTGGGGCACCTGGGTGGCTCAGTCAGGTAAGCATCTGCCTTTGGCTCAGGTCATGATTCCAGGATGCTAGGATCGAGCCCCACGTCGGGCTCCTTGCTTAGCAGGGATCCTTAGCGGGGATCCTCCCTCTCCGTCTGCCTGCCATTCCCCCTGCTTGTGCTCTCTCTCTCTCTCTGTCAAAAAAATAAAAATCTTTAAAAAATAATAATAAAATAAACATATTACTCAATCTTTCATCTCCATAGCACACAAGAATACTAATAAATGAACACTCAGATATATGTATAGGAATTTCTGTAGCATTGTTTATAATTGTAAAAAATTGAAAATGGCCTAAATTTCCAAATTTAAGGCAACAATTATAGGAAATGTAGCTTTGGGATATTATGCAGGTGTTGAAAAGACTGATGCAAAATATATATACCATCAAGTGAAAGAAGCCAGTCACAGAATATATGTTATCTATGAATCCATTTACATACAAAAGTATTTGTGCACACATTTGTGCATATATGCATATATATATATATATATATACACACACACACACACACACACACAAATGAATAGAAATCTACATACCTTTAAGAAATAAACATGCTTAATGTTAGTACAGTTGACCTTTGAACAAGGGTTGAACTGCATGGGTCCATTTATAACGTGGACCTTTTCTTTTTGATAGAGTACAGTACTGTATATTTTCTTGTCCTTATGATTTTCTTAATATTTTCTTTTCTCTAGCTTTATTCTAAGAATATAGTATATAATATACATAACATACAAAATATGTGTTAATCAACTATGTTATTAGTAAGGCCAACAAGTAAGCTATTAGTAGTTAGGTTTTGGAGCAATTAAAAGTTATATGTCGAGGGGTGCCTGGGTGGCTCAGTCGTTAAGCGTCTGCCTTCGGCTCAGGTCATGATCCCAGGGTCCTGGGATCGAGCCCCGCATAGGCTCCCTGCTCTGCGGGAAGCCTGCTTCTTCCTCTCCCACTCCCCCTGCTTGTGTTCCCTCTCTCGCTGTCTCTCTCTCTGTCAAATAAATAAATAAAATCTTCAAGGAAAAAAAAAGTTATATGTCCATTTTCAACTGCGTGGGAATTCAGTGCCCCTAACCCCCCAGGTTGTTCAGGGATCAATTGTAGTTAGGTAGGAGAATGAGATTTGGTGAAAGGACTGGTAAATTGGGGATTTTTATTATGGTAATTCCTGCATGCTTAAGTACTTTTTACAGTGTGTAGATCAATGAATAATTTTTAAAGGACAGTACTTAAGCTACTAGTGATTTATTTAAAACTTAATTATGCAATAGTAAAAATATTAGCATCTAGTATATTGGACACTCGTGAACCTCATTCCCACATTTGACAGAGGTTACATTTTGCCATATTTGTTTAAAGATATCCTTCCTTATAAGTCACAAAATCTTATAAAGCTAAAGTCCCACTTTTCTTTCTCTTGTCTCTTTTCAGGTATAATTACTGTTTTACAGCTGGTGGATATCATTCCCATACTTGTTTTTATACTTTTACCAAATGTATGTGTATTCAAAACAATGTATTGTTTTGAGGTTTTAAAATGAAAATAAATGGTGTTATGCTCCATGTGTTCCGTAACTTATTTTCATCATACTTAGGTTTTAAAGATCTATTCTTTTTTTATTTTTTTTACATGGGATTGATCTATTTTGTTGCATAAATATCTGGGTCTTTTATGTCTTATTCCATTGTAAGAGTGAACTAGTTTATTCATGTCTCTTGATGAACAATAGTATTGTCTTGTTTTTTGATACTGCAAACAAATTTACCAAAAACTCCAGCACATGAATTCTTGTACCCAAAGTTTATCTGAATTTATATGAGGAGGCAGAACCATTGAGGCATGGGGTATGTGCATATTCAATCCTTCCAGGAATTTTTAAATTGTTCTTTAAAATAGTTGTACCAGGGCGCCTGGGTGGCTCAGACGGTTGGGCGTCTGCCTTCGGCTCGGGTCATGATCCCGGGGTCCTGGGATCGAGCCCCACATCAGGCTCCCTGCTGAGCGGGGAGCCTGCTTCTCCCTCTCCCTCTGCCTCCGCCTGCCGTTCCCCCTGCTTGTACTCTCTGTCTCTGTCAAATAAAAAAAATAAAGTATTTGTACCAGTTTATATTCTAGTCAGCACTGTGTGAGAGGTCCCATTTTTCCATATCCTCACTATTGTTTTATATAACTTCTCTCATTTTTTTCAAATTGATGGATATGAAATGGTATCACATTTTAATTTGCATTTCTGGATTACAGATGAAGTAGATCATCTTGTGTTTATTGGTCATTACAGTTTTCCTTTATGAATGTGTGTTCATATCCTTTGTTCACTTTTTTCTCTTGGATTGTCTGGCTTTTTCTTACTGATCCCTTTTGACATATTGAGTACTAATCCTGAGTCTGTTATCTGTGATGTAAATGTCTTCTTCCATAATGTAACTTGTCTTTTAACACTGTTTATATAAACCTGTAGTATGGGAGTTTATTTTAGTGTGTCCATTTTTAAATTTCTTTTGCTTTTGTACCTTTTTAAGTAATTCTTTTCTACTCCATAGTCAGAGGTGTTCTAATACATTTTCCTTTAAACATTTAAGTTTTGCTTTTTATGTTTGGTCCTTTATGCCATCTAGAATTTATTTTTGTTTATAATATGAGGGAGAGGTTTAATTTTATCCTTTTTTATGAGAAAAGTTTGCCTCAGCATCATTTATTGGATAGCCTATCCTTTTCCTGATTACATGTAAAACAATGTGATCATATCCCAAGTTACTATATATTGGAATCATTTAAGGACTTTGTTCCTACAATTATCCCTCTCCACCAAATCTTTTTTCCCCCCTCTCTCCACTGGATTGTTTTCAACAGCATTCAACATTCTGAAATATTTCCCATCTTAAAAAAAAAACTTTATCGAACTCACCTCCGTCCTTGAGCTTCAACACTATTTTTCTGCACTTTTTTACTACGAAGCTTCTATGCTTACTGTGCCACTTCTTTCCCAACTCTGTCTTATAGAGCTCCCAATCAAGACTTAATCTCTGCCACTCCAATCAAACCCTTGTCCCAGGTACTGGTGACCTCCACTTGGAAGTCCAAAGGTCAATTTTTAGTCCTCATTTTATTCATTCTCTCAGTAGCAGTTGGCATAATCAATCATCCCTCTTCTTTGAACGGAGAGACCTAGACACTCTTTCATTGTAAACCTATTGTGAGTATGATACAGACATGAATGCAAATAACAAAAATGCCTGCCTTATCTTGTTTGTCATTTTAGATCCACTTTCAGCCTTTTTTGACCCTGCTTGCAACCTTATCTGGGAGTACTGACCTGTATGAACCAGCTCAAGTGGCTTCTGTACCCTCTGACTTTTGGCTGGTTCTCTAATGAGAGATGCTGGCAGGAGATCAGAAGGAAGGAGGAGAGTGAAGGCAGGTATTTATCTTTCTGACTATCCCTGAGAAGTTGCCTCAGACTGCAGTATCCCTCAAAGCTTCTCTCAAGGTGAGTTCTGTACAGTTCTCTCCTTCCAGTTTGGGTAAGAGCTTCCCTTTCCTCTGCAGACCTGGGGTTGCAACAGCTCATCTGCTACTATCCATGTGGGTTCCCCTACACTCATAGTTTTGTAAATAGTCCCTTTACAAGTAAATCATTCTCAAACTGCCGTGTTTTAAGTGTACCATCTATTTCCTATTGGGACTCACTAATTCACTGCCCTAGGGGAATTTACTTCTGGAGGTGATAGATAGACAATAAACAAAATTAAACAATAAACAAAATTAATAAGTAAATTAGAAGGAAAGGCAGGAAAGGGAGATAGGGAAGCTGGGAACAGTAGGGTGTTGCAATTTTAGATGTGATCAGGGAAGTTCTCATGAAGAAAGTGATAGTTGAGTAAAGACCAGTGATAGTTGAGTAAAGGTGAGGATGTGAGGGATCTAGCCATGCATATATCTAAGGGGAGAGCTTTCCAAATAGCAAACTGCTAGTTTCATGACTGGTTCATGCCTGCTGTCTTTGAAGAGAACCCAGTGACAGGAGCAAAGTGGTTAATGGGGTGAGTAGTAAGAGATGAAATTGTAGAAATGATGTGGTAAAAGGAGGTGGGGAGTGGATTCCAGTTTATGTGGGCTATTAAAAGGACTATGGTTTTCACTCTTAATAAAATACAGAGCCGTTAGATGGTTTTGAAAAGAGAAGTGATATGATAAGATTTTAACTTTTAAAGAGATCACTTTGGCTATTATGCTGAGAAGAGACTATGAGCAAGGTTGAATGCATGGATATCAATTAGAAATCTGTTGCATAAATTAGGTAAGAGGTGATAATGGCTTAGACCAGAGTGGCAGCAATGATGGTGATAAGAAGTGGCCAAGATTCTGGATATATTTTGATAGAGCTCATGGTTTTCCTGATGGATTAAATGTGAGGTGAGACAAAAAGAAAGGGGTCAGGGATGATTCCCAAGGGTTTTGGCCTGAGCAACTGGAAATATATTGTTGCCATCAATTATTATGGTGAAAACAGACTAGGTTTTGGACAAAGATCAGGAGTTTAGTTTTGGACATGTATTGATTGAAATGCCTATTAGATATCCAAGTGGAGATATTAATAAGACATCTAATGTAATAGCTGGAGTTGAGGAAGTTGTCTGGGCTGGACATACGTATTTGGCAGCCATTAATATAGATAAACTACTTAAAATCATAATATTGGATGAAATCACCAAGAAATTGATTATACCTAAAGAAGGAAAGTTGAGTCCTAGATTACTCCAATGTTAAGAGGTTAAGGAAATAAGGAACGATAAGCACAAGAGACAGAGAAGTTTCCAGTAAGGTGGAATGAAACCAAAGAGAATGTAGAACAGAGGTTGGCAGACTGTGGCTCAGAGAGACTAAATCTGACCCACTGCCTTTTTTTGTAAATAAAATTTTATTGGAATACTACCACATTTGTTCATTTATATTTTTCCCCATAGCTGCTTTCATACTATAATGGCATAGTTGAGTAACTGCAACAGAAACTGATCCACAAACTTTAAAATTACTATCTGGTCCCCATATAGAAAGTTTGTTGACCCCAGGGGTAGAGTCCTAGAAGCCAAGTGAAAAAAGTGTTTCATTGGAGAGGGAGTGTTGCAGGGTAATTGCAATTAAAATTCCAGTAGGATTTAGACAAATGGAGGTGGTTTTGATGACTATGGCAAGAGAATTTTAGTGATGTAATTGGGGAAACTTATGCTCGTGGTGATTCTACCCATATTGACCTTTAAATTCATTGTAATCACAGTTAAAAGTGCAGTAGGGTTTTTTGAGGAACTACTAAAATTTACTCAGAAACTTATGAGAAATAACAAAGGTCCATAAATAACTAAGTCAGCTATGACAAAAGAGTAAAATTAGCTATTCATATGCAAAAAATGGAACTTTGATCCATACCTCAAACTATATATATAAAATTAATTCAAAATCAATCATAGACTTAAATGTAAAGCCTAAAACTGTAAAACTTCTTGAAATAACAGTAGAGAATCTTTGTGACTTTGAGTTAGGCATAGATTTCTTAGATAAGACACAAAATACACCATACATTAAAGAAAAATTTAAGAAACTGGAGTTTATCAAAATGTAAAACCTTTGCTCTGTAAAAGGTAACTGTAAAGAGAATGAAAAGGCAAGCACAGACTGGGAGAAAATATTCACAAATAATAAACTGATAAAGAACTTGTATCCAGGGGCACCTGGGTGGCTCAGTCATTAGGCGTCTGCCTTTGGCTCAGGTCATGGTCCCAGGGTCCTGGGATCTAGCCCCACATAGGGCTCCCTGCTCAGCGAGGAGCCTGCTTCTCCCTCTCCAGATCCCCTCTGCTTGTGTTCCCTCTCACTCTCTGTCAAATAAATAAATAAAATCTAAAAAAAAAAAACTTGGATCTCAAATATATAAAGAGCTTTTAAAAGGGGACAACCTAATTTTTAAAACAGATCAATATTTGAAAAAATTATCAAGTTATCAAATTATCAAAAAGATATACAAGTGGAAAATAGGCACATGAAAAGATGTTCAACATCATTACTCTTTGGAAGTTAAAATCACAATTGAATACTGCTACATACCTTTTCTGGTAGCTAAAATTAGAATGAGTGACCATGCCAAGGGTTGGCAAGGATCTAGAGGAACTGAAATTCCCACACATTGCTGAATGCAATGCAAAATGGCAGAACAAATTTGAAAATCTATTAAGAAGTTAAACATATACTCCCCATATAATCCAAACTTTCCACTCCTTGGTATTTAAGAGAAACGAAAGCATTTATCCATGCAAAGACTTACTGATACTGCACAGCAAAGGAAACCATCAACCAGATGAAAAGGCAACCTATGGAATTGGAGAAAATATTTGCAGATCATATCTGATAAGGGACTAATATCCAAAATATATGAAGAACTGATATAACTCAATAGCAAAAAACAAACAATCCAATTTAATAAATGGGCAGAAGATCTGAATAGACATTTTTCCGAAGAAGACATACAAATGGACAACAACTACATGAAAAGAAGCTCAACATCACTATTCATCAGCGAAATGCAAATCAAAACCACAATGAGATATCACCTCATATCTGTTAGAATGACTCTTTTCAAAAAGACAAGAGATAAGTTTTGCTGTGAATATGGACAAAAAGGAATCTTTGTACACCGTTGATAGAATGTAAACTGGTGCAGGCATGATGGAAAAACAGTATGGAAGTTTCTCAAAAAATTCAAAATAAAACTACCATTTGATCCAGCACTTCCACTTCTTATCCAAAGAAAATGAAAACACTAACTGGAAAAGATATATGCACCCCCATATTCACTGCAGCATATTTACAGTAGCCAAGACATGGAAGTAACCTGTCCATTGATGGGTAAATGGATAAAGAAAATGTGATATGTGTATATAATATATATATATATATATATAGGAATATTATTCAGCTATAAAAAAGAATAAAATCTTGCCATTTGCAACAAATTGGATGGACCTTGAGGACATTATGCTAAGTGAAATAAGACAGAGAAAGACAAATATTATATGATCTCACTTATTTGTGGACTCTGAAAACAAAAGGCCAAACTCATAGGTACAGAGAACAGATTGGTAGCTTCCAGAGACAAGGGGTGAGGGGTGGGCAAAAAGGGTGATCAAAGGTGGTCAAAAGGTACAAACTTCCAGTTGTAAAAAAATAAATCATGGGGATGTAATGTACAGCATGGTGACTGTAGTTAATAATATTGTATATTTGAAAGATGGAAAGAGTAAATTTTAAAAGTTCTCATCACAAGAAAAGATACTACAACTATGTGTGGTGATGAATTTTAACTAGACTTATTGTTATTTTACTTATTGTGATTATTTCATAATACATACCAACACTGAATCATTACATTGTACACTGAAACTAGTATAATATTATATGTCAATTATATCTCAATAAAAAAGACTTATTTCTAGCAACTTTATTTGTAATGGCCCACAACGAAACAACCCAGATGTCCATCAGCAGATGAATGAATAAACAAATTTTGTTTATCATATCCATACAAAGGAATACTTCTCTGGAATAAAAAGAAATGAGCTATTGTTACATGCAACAACATAAATGAATCTCAAAATACTTTATCCTGAGTGAAAGAAACAGATAAAAACAAGTACATATTTTATGATTCTGTTTATATAAAACTCTAGAAATTACAAACTAATTCATAGTGATAGAAAGCAGATCAGTAGTTGCCAGGGGATGAGGGCATGGGGAGGGATGGAGGGTGAGATTAAAAAGGTACATGAGGAAATTTTGGAGGGTAATGTATATGTTCATTACCTTGATTGTGGTAATGGATTCATGTGTGTATGCACATGTCAAAAAATGTACAAAATACATGTGTACATTTTAAATATAGTTAACTATATCAACTATAATACAATAAAGCTGTTAAAAAAATACTACAAAGCTATAGTGATTTTTTTTTTAAGATTTTTATTTATTTATTTGACAGAGACACAGCGAGAAAGAGAACACAAGCAGGGGGAGTGGGAGAGGGAGAAGCAGGCTTCCCACCGAGCAGGGAGCCCGATGCAGGGCTCGATCTCAGGACCCTGGGATCATGACCTGAGCCGAAAGCAGACGCTCAAGGACTGAGCCACCCAGGCACCCCTATAGTGATTTTCTTTTTAAGTGTAGTATTGGTCGAAGAACTGAAAATAGTAGCAGTTGACCATTCTATACATTCTTAATATTTCTTTCAATAATTACCTGTGTCTGTAAATACTTATTTTCACCCTTTTTCTTGAATAATAGTTTAGTAAGGTACAGAATTCTATGTTGGCTTTTTTTGCCCTTAGCACTTCACAGATACTTTGTATTGTCTTTTAACCTCGTTTTACTGCTGACATGTTTATTAGCAGTTTAATTCCAGTCCCTTTTACCTTATTTGCCCTTTCTTTATGATTGCTTTTA